TGGAAGACTTCCAGTCTTGGTTTAAAGGCTGTGATTGATGATGAAGCTTTTTGGCAAGCTATTCCAACAATCAATTACCCTTTCTGCTAATAAGGTGCATGGAATTTTTGAGTTTTCTAGTATTACTTCCTAGCCATTGGAATACCAGCCAGAGAGAACGCGTTACGTTAACATCTCTAACCGGACCCTCAGTACCCGCAGTTCCTTGCTTTGTGGACAGTCTCTCCTGTTTTGGTTAGTTATCACTGTCATGGGATAGAATTTGTGTTTACTATATCTTAATTGACTTAACTCTTGCTGAGGGCTCCAGCTCCGTGCAGATGGGGTCTCACTGGGCTCCTTGTTTGTATTAGTACACACAACTGGCAGTCAGGAAAAATACAGTCCTGGGCCAGGGGGACTCCTGAGCAAGGAAGGTACTAATTGCGTTTAAGGCTGGACAGAAGTACTCCAGGCTCTAGTAGTTGTCTAAAGTCTCTGAAGATCTTTATTTATGAACTGCGTGCTACTGTAGCCAATAAATAACCGTAATTACAATAAGTACAGTATGCTTACAATGTTTCCCATTTGGTTTTCTTAAAAAAATAGTACAACAAAGTTACTGAGAAGAAAAACTGCCCTGTTTGTGTGTAGCGAAGCTGGATTAAAATATTCACAGCAGAGGGTTTTCTGTGGATGGGGGATAGCTTTGCAGGTTTAGAGCAGATGGGATTTAGACCCCCCAGGCACTAGCTGGATGTGATGCTTGCGTTATCCAACTGATTTCTTGGGCAAAAATATGAGTGTCTCCCATTTGGGGCACAACACTTCATCTGTCCTGCTGCAAATGTGAGCTGTTCCTCGTTCAAATTATACAGCTGAGTGCTGAATTTAGCCCAGACAACCTAAAACTAGAAGCTCAGTCTTCAGTCGGTAAATTCAATAGTATCAGGTAGGAGACTACCTTATGTTAAATATGAATAAATCAGAACTGTAAAACTCCTCTCATTTGGGAGTCTCAAAACATTTCACCCTTGTTGCAAACTCCTTACAGCACCCTTGTCAGGTTGGGTTTTACTGCTAACAGGTCGGGGCACCCTGTCAGATGAGTTGACTTTCCTTAGTGAGCCATTACAGTGCTGAGAACAGAAACCACGGCGCTTAACTCATCCCTGTCAGTTACTCTCTAAAGCAAATGCTCAGAGCAATTAAATGTAGGGGATTCTTAACGAGAAAGGAAGTTGATTTGCAACGTAATGCAATGTTGTAAAGACAGTAAACTCTGTTAAGATGTTGAAATCTAAGTTTTCTCCCCCAGCTCTGAACACCTTTCCTGTTAACCCCTGTGCTGCATTTTAGGAAGCTCTAAGTGGCTTCACAGAAGGTTTCTTCCACATCTTTTTCATGTTGGTGGCTCTGGACAGGCTTTCTGTGTAGTTTTTATAGCCTGGATAAAGTTTAACTAGGTACAGATGCTGCCTTTGCATGTGCCATTCCTTTTCTGTGGGTCATCTAACCCCCTGATAAATAAAATGGCAGAACGGACTGCTTAAGACAAGGCAGTGACAGTCTTTGTGTTAATGTGGCTTGTGTCTGCACACAAAAACTGAGCCGTCTTGTCTGGAGTGGGGTTTAGCCTGTAACAGTCTGCGCCTGAACTTGGCTTTTCCCATCTACCAGTGTTGCAAGTGGAAAAATTTTTCTGTCCCCTTCCCTTCCCAACATCCCCTGTCCTTCACCCAGCGCATTTCCTTGTGCTTTACCTGTAGTGTTTCATAACGTGCCACTATCTTTTCTGCTCTGCAGCTTTGGAGTATCAACAAATTCCCCCAAAATTTAGAGGGGAAAAAAAAAGCCTGTGAGGGAGAGACTGCCTGTTTACCGTGTGCGTCTTTCAGAGTTTCTTTATGCTGATGCTCAGGAAACATTGGTGTCGGCTGAGCTGTGGCTGGCTGGGTTTAGGTAAGGACTAGGTGCAGGGACGACACAGAAGGACAGGTTTGCCACCGAGGGGTGGACAGGGACGGATCAGCCTTGCTGATGCCTCTGCTGCCGTGGGTGCGCTGCTGCCGGGGCCCGAGCTGGGTAGTTTGGGTCAGCTCTGATACCCCCCGGGAGCCGCAGTCCCGCCTCTGCCAGCAGTGTGAATACAGAGACTTTCACACTGCAAGAACGTGCAAATACATAACGATCCCCTTGTGCCTCGCTTTTCAGGAAGGGAAACTGAGGCAGCAAGTGGTGAAGTAACTGCTTGGAGCTGTAGATGGAGTCAGTGTCGGAGCTGGGATTACAGCGGGTGGTTGTAATGCCGTTGTGGTTATCACTAGGTCATACCTCTACGCTTCTGTGTGTCATCCTGAAAATGTTGCAAAAGTTCAGCAGTGTTTTGGTTTGAAATGCATACTGATGAAACTCTATGTACTGATGATTTACCTTCCCAAAAAACAGGCGTAGCTGGAATTCAGATTGAAGACATTTAACTTTCAAGAGGAGCTACTTGTCGTTTGAAGGCTTTAGAAAATACTATCCCATCAGTTTTACAAATTAGGATATATTCAGCCCATTTGCAATGCAGAACAGTGCAAACTGGAACATTTGAAATCCAACTCATGTAGTTTTTCACTTCTTACATAAAATGTGCCTGTGATCTAGTTTAACAAAGAAATGTATGGAAAACGTATTAACCTTCCCAGGGAAATGTTGCGGGTGGCTGCTATTGAAAACCCACTTTAGATACCGTTTGCACCATACTATAAAGCATCATGCTTTCCAACACTGTAAAGTTCAATAAAACAGACAGAGCCACCAGTGTTACCAGACACATTTGGAAGCATCTGTTGAGACCAAGTTTCTGCAAGAGACGTTGTATAGCCGGCATGGTCAGACCTAGACTGATGCTGAACCTCAGCCCTTGAATTTTGCAGGAGGACTTTGCTTGCTTGTGAGAGCTCATCCAACATGTGGTCCATCAAAGCACGTTCTTCAGCCCTGGAGGTGTCCAGCATCCCTCTAGAAGGGAATTAGCTGTGTCCGTGGGCACGGAGGTACTGCAGCCCCTTGGGAGAGCCGACGTTTCGGCTGCCCTGGATGGGATTGGTGATGCACGAGGGGGTGAACACATCTGGCCTCGCGCAGAGTCTGTGCCTGCAACCAGTATGAACCTCATGGCTGCAGCCAGGCTGCACGTGGAAGCAGCTCCCTCCCACGCAGGAGTTCCTCCCGAGGAGCGCAGCAGACATCTTCAGTACGAGGGCTTTCGGTTCTGATTGCCCTGCTGTCTGCTCCACAGGGTTGGACCTAGGGTGCCTCCAGCATCTGCATCTCCATTCGGTCAAGGCTGTGGGCACATCATCTAACCTCGCTGCTTTTGTTTGCTCCTCTCCTGAATCTGGTCCCCCCTCTTCAGGGCTGCAGTGGGCATCGTCCAGCGCTGCTCGTCAGCTCCGTAGGTCCAGTTAGTTTGTGCCTCCTAAATTTTGTCATCATGGCTACTGATAGTTCTGCATATCCATCAGGTAACTGTTTCCCAAGCCCTAATTTGCTTTGCTTTTGAGCTAACACTGAATGCCTAATTTTCCTTTCATCCCATCTTTTGTGGGAGGAAGGGTGAAGGCCCAGCAAGATAAAGGTGATAACAAAAATGCTGAATTAACAACATAAAATATTTTGCCAAACAAAGCTTCCAAACATCAATAAAAATATTTTAAAATCTTTAAGAACATAAATAATACAAAAATATAATTTATATTTAGCTGTTATCCTTCTGGAAGAAGTGTTTCAGCCTGCTCGAGGGACCGAGGGGGGTAATTCACGGAGAGGTGCAGGGGGAGCTCGGGACAGGCGCAGGGCGTGATGGTTCCCTGCCTGCCCTGCCTGCCTCAGTCTGCCCTCTGTCAGTGGGAGCTGTTGTTTTCTTTTTTTTTTTTTTCCACTTTATCCCAGGTGTTAGGTGTAATGGAAACAATGAGGTACCCTTTCTTTTTGCTGCAGTTGTGCTCTAAATATTTAGACTCTTTCATTAAGTTTATTTTTCTTTGCCTGTTTCTTAAAACAGTTCTCTTGTTTGCTGAACACGTAGGAGCCCTTCTTCCTCCCTCCAGAGCCTTGCTGTTTGCAGTGCGCGGTGTGAACCTACCGGCGCATTTACCTTCTTGATTCCAGATGCTAAAAGAATTGTAAAGGGGTTCTGTGGATAGATGCAATAGGCATAACTCCTCGGGGAGGCCAGGGATTTCCGCGTGTAATCTCTCAAATGCTCGCTAACGCCTAGGACGTGGAAGTTTTAAAATGATTAGCAAGGACAAGGAATTGGTATCTAGTGTAGAAACTGTCTGTCAGTCCGTCGCCATTGCGCAGTCCCGCAAGCATAGCCCCTCGTCAGGTCAGTGCGGAAGGCGATGCTCAGGCCAGCAGTGTTGTCCGCTGGGACGGAGGAAGGTGCAGGCAGGTAAAATTCCCTAAAAGCGCACTTGGGATCTAACCAGCAAGCACTTGTAATTCAGCTTCTAGTTAACTTTGGTCGTTTGCTTGCTTTACTGGGAGAGAGAGAGATTTTAATATGCGACTTCCATTCCCAACCATTTTACTTAATGGTGCACCTTAACATCCCTGTACATCTTTGGGGTCTCACCCTCCCACTTACATTGGCTGTGTGAGCCTTGGGCCCGAAAACTAGACTGACTTATTGAGTGAATCTCAGTCTTGCAGTCCCAAGTTGAGACTGGTATTTTGGCTGGACAGAACTGTTTGTGTAGGGAGATGAATCTGAGTCCAGATTTTCCTTGTTGCCCCAATGATGGCTTCCTTGAGTTTCCAGTTCTTGGTTAAATTACGTAATGTTCCTCTTTCTTCCTCCTCTATTTAAGACCCTCTCTCTATTGAAATTGGGTATGTTGACATCTCCATTATTAGGCAGAACTGCCTATCCGAATTAGTGGATGCTGGGAAAGTACCTCCTTTTAGCTTACCCCTTCTCCTCCCCAAACAAAAAGGAAAGAAGTATAACAAAAACACCCCGAAAGCACGTGGGATATGGATAACATTGAACATTGCGCCTCACAGCATAACAGTTGATACAAACAATAGGCTGGGGTTGCAAGTTAACACCAGTGTCGTAAAAAAGCTTTTCACAATCTGAACTCTCTGTTCACCGATCTTCAGGATGGGGCAGAGATCAGTCTTTCTTGTGGCTTTATCTCCTTGGGCTGGTTGCTGCAGAATTTGGCTCATATTATGGGGGGTGGGGGGGAAATCCTGTCCCATAATTTGTTAGAGATGGCTGTGACTGGAATTGGTATGGAACATGCTGATCACTGTGAAATCCTCAGTCCCTGTCCTCCCGTTACCTCCCCCCAAAATTCACTGTACATATTTAAAAAAAAAAAAAAAGTAGTCAAGTTTAGCAGTCTGGTTATTTTAGTACATGGCTTCGTAAGGCAGAAAACCTACTGGATACAGTGTGTGGGGCAGTTGGCTGTCAGAATTCACGTAGAATTCTTCGTTTTACTCATTCCTTTAAAAAAATTTTAATTGGTTAAAGACCCATGTCTTGTATGAAAGCTTATATTCTTCCGAAACAAACAAAAAAACCTGTTTTCTTTCTTCCTCCTTTAAAACAATGTTGTCAAATCCTTTCTCTCTAATGCTGCTGTGGTACAAACTCAAAGTTGCAGCAGCACCAAATATTTCGTGGTTCCCCACTGGCTTGGGAGGAAGCGTGTCCAGGAGTCCTCTGCTGCACTGGCCATCGTCAGAGCTCCAGGTAGTTGATCAGGGCCACCATTACTAGAGAGTTAGTTGTGATAATGAGAGCATGTGGCACTGGCCTTGTCACCGAGTCTTCCACCATCATACTTGTCCCTGAAAGAAAGGGAACAGGGAAGGAGCAACTGTCTTGTTGCACAGACACAACCTGATGTCTTGAGGGAAGAGTTGGGAGGGTTGGTAAACCGCTCGTTCTGGGGTTCTGCGCGCTCGTATTGTGCTTGTCGCTGGTGAACCTCCCGGGAAGACTTGTGTTTGGAGGTGGGCCCTGAGTACTTACCCCCTGCATCAAGGGAACCTGCTGGAGTTGGGGTTGCGGCCCCACAAACAGGGTCAGGATTTCACTCTTAGTGAGCGTGAGTTGGGCTTGCGTGGGGCCTCGAGGGCTTTAGCTGCAAATAATGAAGTTAGGTCCAGACTAGACTGAACGGTTGCTCAGAGCCCGGGGAGAGGTCAGCTGGTGGAGGGCTGGAGAGGAATATGTCAGAAGATCCTTTGAGCAAACTTCACAAGGGAGCCAAAGACCAATTCCAGAGTCTCAACCTAAAACACTGGGGTTGGATGTTCCCCCATGTTCCTGGGAGAGTGGGATTTTAAAACATAACAGCATTTATTGTTATTGTGCTGTGCTACGGCCCGGGGGGAGGAGGTATGACTAAGCCATTACTTATCAAAGAAGAGTGGTAGTGAATGACAGACAAGTAGTCCTGCTGATTAAATCCTCTCTCTGAGCTCGTTTTCCAGTGGTCTGTGAAGCACCCTGTAAATGAGTGTTGGTGCATGGAGTGTGGATACTCAGAGGAGCGTACGTACCACTATTTCGGAGGATGTGAACTTCTGCTGGGATTCCGTCTCCCCCGGGGCCCGTCACCCTGATCTGTACAAAGGCGTGAGTGAAGTCTTCAGGGACGGGGATGTCAATCCGGCTCTTGCTGGCCAGGTATAGCGTGGGAGCAGAGTGGGAGTCCTGCCTGTAAAGCATCTGTTGGAAGAACCAAGTTTGAGTTTATGTTCACTGCAATTTCCTTAGGGTCACTTACAGGAGAAGGCCAGCTACGTGCTGCCTGTACCTTGTACCCCGTCACTGCAGACTCATCTGCCTTCGCCACCACTGGGTCCCACTTGATGCTGACTGTAGACCCAGAAAAAGTCCAGGAGATGTTGCCAGGTGGTCTCTTTGGTGCTAAGAGATACAAAACAGGGCAGAGATTCAGTAAGTCGGGGACTGATGAGGTTGTGCTGGTTACAACCGTCTCCTGAGACTACAGCTATCAACACGGCTGATGGTTGGTTTAAAGGGAAGTATCCCAGTGAACAGTACTCTGAGCACAGATCTGCTCAGGTAAGTGATGCACAGACCATAAGGCTGATTTGAGGAAATTTAGGGAACTGTTTTATGGACTGATTAAAATGGCGTTACAGCACCAAGATGTAAAAGCTCAATGGTTAGCTGATCATCAGGGACCCTCTGGAGGACGCAGCAGCCCCAGGGAGTACAGTGTGCTAAATGGAGGTAGTCAGGGCTCACTCACGGGGTTTTGTTGTTGTGACGTTGGTAGAGGGACTGGGGGGGCCGGTTCCAGCCCGGTTGTACGCTCTGACTGACACGTGGTATTTCGTGTTGGGGTTTAGGCCTGTTACATGAGCCGATGTCACCAGCCCTGCTGTTCGCACTCTGTCAGCTGCCTCCTCTTTATCACCATCCTTCCAGTACCGGATCTAAATAGAAAAGGGTACAATGGGTTTAGTAAGGGCAGAGATATCTGTAGATATCAGCCTCATCCACGACCAGCACTGGAGACCCTTTGGTATTTGTTCCTATGCATTTTGCTTAGCATGTGCCCACGTGTAAGGTTACAGCAGGAAAAAAAGGATGTTTCTCTCTTACTAATCTCTCTTTTGAGCAATAGTACCGTCCCTATTAGAGCCTCGTGCTGTCCAGGAATTATCCTCCATCTTTGGAAACAAAATGCTCTTTCCTTTCACACCTCTCAGCCTGGGGGAATTTTGTTTGCTGGGCTCTCCGATCTCAGTTTCGGTATCTCTCATTCCCATTGCAGGCTCGTACCTCATAGCCCAGAAGCACTCCAGTCATGTCTCCCTGCTCAATGGGCTCCCAGGACACATCCATTTCTGAGGACAGAACAGCCTTGGCCATAACTCTGAAAGGAGCCACTTTCGGTTCTGAAAAAGACAACAAAAGGGAATAAAATCCTTTTTCTTGCTCTGGGCAGCTTAATCACCATACTGAAACGAAGGGCTCTCCTGCAGCACCATTACAGTGCAGGCAGACAGCTGGTATTATGTGTACGGAGCAAGGCAGGGGGAAGGGATTTAGGGACTTAGCAGGACAAGCAGGGCCACAGCTGTGTGCTGTGAGGATCTGCGTCTGCTCTGAAGCTCTGGGTGTACAGTCAGGGCTGGGCTTAGGGAAACATCTAGCTGTGTATTTGAAGTAGAAGATAAATGTTACGCTGAAATTAGTGTCAGCTGCTCTTTGAGTAAAAGAAACCTCTCCTATCATTGAGCTCCCAGACAGACACAGCTCTGCACGGAGCTGGTTGAGGACACGTTGGTTGGTTGGACAAAGCATGGTGAATTCAGAGTTGCCGCAGTCCCTCTTTACCTTCTTCTGCAGAGTACACGATGGCGGTGAGGCTCTCTGGTCCCTCTCCTTTCCTGTTGTACGCTTTGATCTTCACTTCAAAGGGGGTGTAGGGACCAATGCTCTCATTGCGGTAGACGTAGTGCAGCGACTCTGCGTGCGGCACCCTTGCTGTCAGCCACCCTTGGGTGCCTTTCTTGCGAAACGACAAGATGTAGCCAAAGCCATCTCCGTTCTGATAGTCCCGCAGGGTGGGCTGTGAGCCGGGTGGAAAGAGAGAGGAGCCTCAGTCCGTTCAAATGAGCGAGACTTTGGACTAAGCACAGTGTTTGGCCTCGACCACATATCAAAAATGTAATTACAGCCCTGATTTCCCGAAAGAAATGGCACGTGCTCCTCCCCTTGGCCTTCTCCCAGCATCCACGGCTGGTGCCGTGATGCTGACTTACCGTCCAGTTGATGATCAGCTCGTTGGGAGCCCCTCCGCCTCCGCTGAGCCCAGATGGTGCCACAGTAGGTGCTGTCGGGTCCCCAAACAAAAGCAGACAGCACAGGTTGGGTTAAGGAAACAATAGTGATGAAGATGAGCACAGACACGGCACGGACTGGGAGTAGCCAGGCTTTGACAGCTCGTGTGGAAGTGCTGGTCTCTATGTTTTCAGCCATATTTCAGATGTTTGTGAAAATGAGGTCTAGAATACGGGCCAGTGCTTGACACGCTTATTTGGAGGCAGCACGTCTCAGAGGAGACAAGAATCAAGCTCAAAAGCAGGGATGTGGAGGAGAGCTTTTATTAGAAAAGAGTTAATATGCATTTGGTATGTTGAGAGCAGTTCTCCTGCTGTTCTTACATCCATTCTGCTTGCACGTTCAAGCAGCAGAAGATAGAATGAAAATTCACAACAGTTTGCTGGGAAATTTACCTTGTCTTTGCAGAGTTGTGCTCTCTGATATAAGAGGGCTCTTTCCCCTCTCTAATCATTACTGCCCAGAAGGTACAGGATTTGAAGCTAGGATTTATAATGGCTTAATATATTGCATCTGGTGCTGGTGAAGTTAGCTGCCAGTTCTGGTACTGCTTTGTCTTTGACGTGTAAATGGGCAAAAAGGCAGAAAATTTTGTGATGGCATCTCCTCTAGGAGCACTCAGGGAGATGACTAATTGTTTGGGCCCAAGGCATGCTGCGAGGCAGCCTTCCCCCTCCCGCATGCAGGGACAGGTACCTCTCATTCCCCTTTCTACCTCTGAGTGTATCTGCACGTACCTGCTTCTTTGGTACGGATTTTGCTGGAGGGTAAACTTGGCTCCCCAACTCCAAGAATGTTACTCGCTAAGACCCGAAACTCATAATCCATCCAAGGAATGAGGTTCACCACCTGGGCTGTCTCTGCGTTGCCTTCAATATTTACGGGATCTATATAATCCAATAACATGAGAGGAGAACAAACAGTGAGTGGCAGCCAGCGTACACGCACAGAGCAAGAACTTGTCAGCAAGCTGGTGCCCTGCAGCCACCCCAGGCCATGCCACCGCCGCTGCCCTCAAGACACTTACTGGTACGCATTTGTTTCCATTTGCTGGAGAGGAGGGTCCGCGCCTCGATGATGTACCTGGCAATTGGGCTGTGGTTGTCAAAGCCGCGGCTCCAGCTCAGCTGGATGCTGGTGTCACCTATGTCTCTCACCACCACACCTCCGGGGGGGCCTGGAGGTCCTGGGATGATGGGAGACAGACGGACATGTTACTAAGATGAAAGATTTGGAAGCTTATTGCTCTTTATATTGTGCAAGTCATAAATTAAAAAGAGGCCTTTTTTTTTTTTTTTTGAAAGCTGGGAACCTCACCTCCAATTCTGGCCTCCAGAAAAGCTCATAAGCCTGTCCCATCCAGTTCAAAAATTAGATGGTGGAGTGGTCGCAAGGGAAGAGCGAGCTAATCCCTTGTAAGGACCATGCCGTTACTTCGGGCTTGTAAGGAGCAAGGGACCTTACGACAGAGAAATTACCTCTGACAGTCAGCGTGGCTGACTCCGAAGCACTGTCCACAACCGTCTGGGCTGTACACGTGTACCGCCCCGAGTGCTTTAGCTGGGCGTTGAAGATGCTGAGGTCTCCAATAGCCTCCTTCTGCGTGGGGAAGAGAAAAGACAGTGGGGAGAGCGTGTGAACACACCTGATCACAATCCAGCATTCAACATGTAAATAAAGAGGCTGGTATTAATTTTCTGTCCTTTTCGGTGGTACATAGTTGCCCGTTCTACTCACCACACTGGCTCGCCGGTAGTGCCCCTCAGACTTATCAAAGTCAATGGGGAAATCATCTAGTGACCAGGTGAAGGTTAGGTCCATGGTTGGATCGTGGGATGCGTGACATTGTAGAGTAAGGTTTTCACCTACATTGATGTCAGCACTAGATGGTGCCAATGTGATTTTGGTGGCATCTGTGGAGAAAGAGCAAGGAGGGCTGGTAGCTGCAAATGTCCCTGTACCAGGTGTATATTAATGCTGCAGAGCATCCAAACCAACTAACACTTCCCAACTTGCTGCCATCCCTCTCAAACAGCTGTAGTTTTACAGGAGGAAGATGAGGGATTACAATGGTTAGAAAATGGAAATGCTTGTCTCAAGGACCAGTTGTTGGTAGGTATGATTTGGTGGGTCAAGCAGAAGATTTGCTGCTCTGCAGGTTGAAATGTCTTTGAGTCCCTGAGTATTGCATTGATTTTTGGGAGTATAAGGAAAGGAGAAACATCACATCACGGCATTCTTAGATGTTTCTTGCTCAATTGACCCCTAATCAAGGCAAACATCTCTACCTCGAACAGAGAGGATTCCAGTACTGTTGGCTTTGCCCATGAAATTCTCAGCAAAGCAGGTATACTTTCCCTCATCAGATTTGCTGATATTCTGGAGGATCAAGGTGCCATCTGTGGTAATAGTCACCCTGGAAAGGAAAAAGAATGGTACAAGAGGAAGGTTAAAATGTCTGTTCACTCTGTACACCTGACAGTTTCCAAGACTTGCCGATTTTAGAGAAATTGGTGATAAACACAGGACTGCAAAATATTATGTAGGAGTTTTCTAAAGAAGAAACTAGAGGAATAACGAAGTGCTCATGTTCAGGGATGTAGCAGCACACTTTGGTCATCAAGTTCAGTCGTCTGGCAAGAAAAAAACCCATGATTTTAGCTATGGTTTGTAGGTAGAAGCTGACTCTGTGCTGCTACCTGCTACTGTTGATCAGAAGTTCAGTCCCTTTGGTCCAGAGCACAGTGGCTTTTGGTGCAGCTCTTGGTTGGCACGGGATGATGACCTTCCCACTTCGGGCTGCAGGTATCAGTCGCTTCACTGGGTTTAGTCTAAAATCTGGTGCTAAAGCTACAGGAGGAAAAAAAGAGGATTAAGGAATGATTAGAAAACCCTGCTGTGTGAGCATTTTAACTGCCATGTAACTAGGTATTGATTTGTCATTAGATGACTTGGTAATAGAAGCATGGCAATATCTGGTGAGCAAGATGAAGGAGTGATTCCTCTGCTGCCGGGCAGTTTCTAACGCCTGCTGAGGCAGGTGTTATGCGACATACATGTCGTACGTAGCGATGGGATATGACCCTAACAAGTGCAAGGTCTTTGAGAGACACAAGAACAGCTGCTTTTGAAAATGTAGAGGATATTCTCTTCAATATCCTGACCAAAGTCACCAATGCAGACATCCAGCTTGCCTAAAACTCCTCCTGGAGCTGCAGAGATAGAATTGGGGTTCATCTGTTGCCCTCATGCCTTGCAGTGTGTTAATGTTGAACAGTTGATGCTTAGGGCCTTTAATTTATCTCTGGCATCTACTGACCACGAGGAGATGAGCTTTGAGACTAATGTGGAACAAGTTTGGCATCGGTCCAGTTCCAGTCACCATCCATCAAAGCAGGCTGAATGGATACTGAACTCTTTTCTTTGACCTTTTTCCTCCAAAAAAAGAGGAAGGCTGTGTGGTGGAGGAGAGCTCGTAGGGCTGCTGCAGTCTGTCCTGTACACTTTCTGTAGCCAAACAGATGTCCTTGTTCTCTTTCAGCATTACTGAATTTACACAAGATGTAAATTTTAAAGGGTTGTAGAGTGCCTTGTTTAAACAGTAACTATATTTCAATGGTAAGTGAAGCAGTTTTTGTCTGCTCTTATCTTACTCTGAGATCACAAGCGTACGATATTAGGAAGAGATCTAAAATGCTTCAGTGTCCCATTGAAACCCAGAGCACTGGGAGATGAGAAATTACCTTGCACTGTTAATTCAGCACTTGCATATACTGTGCCATGCTTGTTCTCAGCCACACACTGATACATGCCAGAGTCCTCCAGGACTAGCTTGGAAAATCTCAGCTCTCCACCGCTCACTTCGATGCGGTTCTGTGCAAACAAGAGGATGAACCCATTAGATGAGAAAAACAAAAATGGAACTCAAGCCTCGTGTGTTCAGGGTTGAGTTTCGTTACAGACTTTTTGCCAGTTTGAAGCCAGCCTGGTTTTCCGTGGGAGAAAACGCAGGACATTTTTGCTGTGTGTCCAGTCACTGCCCCACGTCACTCTGCTCTGTTTGCTGAGACTTCTGAGCAGCAACGTGCAGGTCATAGAGAGACTGGTACAAGGTGCTGTTTATCCACCCTGATAACTCGCTGTGAGTTCCTGTAGTTGCATGAAGCAATGGCTGGGATGGCAGTGATGGGAGAAGGAATTTGCGGTCAGTAAGGACTGTGGCATTGCTTTGCAGCCTCATGGGGGCACATGGAAAAGGGATGCGGGGTGATAAAACGGGGTTGGGATGCATTTGCAGCGAGGCAGGAGAGGGTGTAAGTCTGGAGTAGCAGGTTCAGTACTGCGAGTTGTGGTGGGCACTGGTTGAGCTGTTCTCGCTGTCAGACCTGCGCCGGCGGTACCTGAGAGGTCAGCGGCTGCCCGTCCCGAAGCCATCGGACGGCGGGCCTGGGTTTGCCAGCGGCCGCGCAGCTCCAGCGCAGGTCGGACCCGATGTCGGCTTCCGTGTCTGTGATCACCTTCAGCCACTCCGGCTGAGCTGCAAAGGAGCAAGAGAGGTGGCAGAGCCAAGAAGATCAGATGAGAGGTTTGTTGTGCCAGGCAAGCAGAAGGATGCTCATTGTGTCATCTCTGCTGGCAGATTTATTTATCACAGCATGTTTCACCATAGTAACAGCCTTTGCCTTTTGTGCAGTGATGCAAAGCTGAGTCCTCTATGGGTCTGGCTGCAGCTGTGCATGTGGACTGCACAAAATTATGGCAGAATCCGGATCTGAAGAGGATCTGGTTTCTCTTCGTAGTAAATGCTGTCATTCTGAACTTCAGGAAAGACTGGATTCAGACGAAGAGAACCAGGTTAAGATTTGTAACTTGACTAGATCTGATCAATAGCTCCAAGCATTAACCCTTGTGGAAGTACCCAGACTTGGAGAGGATCTTGGTTGAGAGCCAACTTTGATTTTTACCACTATGCTTTCTTCCCTGGTTACCTCATTTTTGCTAGAATTATTTTAGAGCAAGTTAGGAGGTCTCTCCTGTATTCACTGAGGAAAGATACCAGTGATCTCTGCAGGTCTTTGTTAGGGCTTTGCTATAGGTTTAGTTTGGGCTGATAAGAGTCCTTGGGGCATCTTGCTGTGCTCTGGGAAGGCATGTGTTTAAATGTGTTACCTTGAATGATGATGCGGCCCTGGTAGGTGTCTCTCCCTTTGGTGTTTTCAGCCTCACACTCATAAGTGCCTTCATCCTCAAAGCCAACGTCCTGGATCTGCAAGAGGGGCTCGCTGCCGATCCACTTGGAGGACTGCGAGCCGTCCAGCTTCCTCCACTTTATTCGAGGAACGGGGCTGTGCAAAAGTGAATCTGGTGAAGGCCAGCTCTCGCGTACCCCATGCTGTGTTACAACGTGGTGTAACTCAGTCCCCACTCAGCCACCCAGGTCCCATCCCAGCTGGGCCCTGGCCAGCAGGACAGATGGCTTTAGCCACTTCCTCCCTCCTCCTGTTCCCCCTCCGTCTCTGGTCTCCAGTAGACCCATTGAAGAGAGGGGTTGTGAAAGTTCCAGGTTCTGCAATGCCCTCCCATCCCGAGCCTGAGCGACACAGACGCTGCACTCACTTTCCAAAGGCAAAACACTCCAAAGTCACCATCTGCCCAGCCAGAGCGTAGGTGTCTGCAGGAAACCTGGCTTTTATGCTGGGTGCATACTGCCTGGCATCTGTTAAAAGGAAAGCACTGTTGAGGAGTTCTGGGTGACTTTAAAATGGCACACGTGAGGTCTTAAAGGGCAGAGGTACCCGCAAGGTTACACTGCCTTGCAAAACCTTCACGCATTTGGATAATTTACAGGTGGCAAAGACTAAGTTTCATTTTCCTCTTAAAACAGCATGTCTCTGAAAAAACTCTTTACAACATCTCAGGACTGCTGTTAATTCCCTACCTGCCTAAGTCCCTTCACCCTGCCCAAGAAGTATCTTTAGCTCCACCTCTGCAAGGTCACCAAAGGCAGAGGAGAGTAGTTTCAGGGCTACGTGAGCCTGCACAGGCTGTACCTTCTGCCATTTCTCTTTTGCAAATAAATAGAGAAACTCTGTGGATGGGGTTTGTAGCTGCACAAGCAGCAAAGCCTGGAGAGAGGGCTGCTTCCCCCACGTTCCAGCCAATTAGTATTTTTGTAAGCTCTTAAGCTCCCCTGGGAGGCTGGTAGGAGATTTGTGCACTGCTGCAGTCCTGTGGAGCCCAAGTGCTTTGTGGTGGCTTGTTAATTTTGCATTTTGCCCAGTCCCCTTATGATAATCCAAGAGCACTGACCCTCTGCAGCGAGGCTGAGCCGGGAGAACTTGCTGAAAACACTCTTGGTGATGAAGTCGATGTGGCTGGTGGCAAAGCATGAATAGTTCCCCAGGTCGGAAGCCTCTGTCTTGGCAATGTAAAGGTTTCCTGTGGTCTGAGAGACAAAACGCCTTCCATCGGCTGGGATGAAATTGGGAAACTCATTCAGGAGCCATCGATAGGATAAGCCTGTGGGGAAAAGGAAAAGGAACAAACTGCACAAGTTGCCTGTGACCTCCCAGGCGGGACTAAACCCGGCCAGCCCCTGTCTAGACCAGCCCAAGCTGAAGTAGGTCCTGGGATGGTACTTGTTTTCTCCCTGTGCTACGTCCTACCTCTGTTTTGTTGCTTTACAGGGTCTGAATTAAAACCAAATTTGCTTCCCTAAACTTCCCAGAGAAAAGCAAGGAGTGCTTCACGTGTCAGGGAATCCCTTGCTCCGTTGCATCTCTCCACCTGGCGCCAGCAGCGCTGCTAATCCCTGCTGGTGGCCATGCTGACATGCAAACCCTTACCTGGGTAATGGGGAGGAGGGCTGCAGGCGAACATCACTCCCCAACCTTCTGTAATCTTCACGGGGTCTCGCTCTTCTGCAGAGAATTCCTGCAAAACTAAACAGGCAAAGTGAAACCTGTCCGTGGATGAAAAAAAAACAGCTGTGGAGGAATGACTGTATTTTATATCCCCCTCCACAGGCTGGTCTTCTCAGTGGTTGCACAGAGAGAGATCCAAAAATGTTACTGACTTTCTCTGTAGTGCATCAAGTTTCTACTACACCTCCATGTTAATGGAAAGAGCCAGGGGCTTTCTCCAAGTGTACCATGCACAGGACAGCTTCTCTCCAGCCTTTATTAATGTGAGCAGGAGGGCTCAGTTTACCCCCAGCGTAACTGTGGCTGCATTTCATTTACCTTGTGGAGACAAACTTACAGCCAAAGCGGAGGGAGGCTTCCCTGCTGACCACCGTGCCTCTGGAATTAGATGCCACGCATTGGTAGGAGCCGGCATCCTTGGCTTTCACTGGGTTGCTTATCACTAGGTCGCCTGCAACCAGCCTGTAACGGGAATCTGGCTCCATCTTTAGCTCTGTGCCATTCATCTTCCACCTGCCAAGAGCAGATGTAAAGAGGGAGAGGGGTAAATACTCATTGCAACACTCACGGTGCCTCGTAGGAGGCTGTGCTTGTTTGTTTTTCCAGCTGTGGTGTGTTGGGATTTGAGTTAGATTTTTATCTGGTCTGTGTCCTGGGAAAGATGCGCATCACACGTAGATGAGGAGGCTGATTCCTGCGTTAGTGATTTTCTTTATATAAAAGGGGAGAACAGAAAGCAAATTTCTTGATGGTTGTGTCCCAGTCCTGGCACAGAGAGAGCAGGAGAGCTCACCGGTAGGTCGCAGGAGGACTGGCTCTTGCTCGGCAAGCCAGCGTGACTTTCTCTTCTGCTGAGCCTTCAGGGAAGAGGGTGTGGACAGGCTGCTCTTCAAACACTGGCCCGTAGTTCCTTGTGCTACTCTGTGCTTGGCACCAAACTGCAAGAGAGAGAAAACCCGCTTAGCTCAATTTAGCTTTTTCTAAAATTTCTCATTTTTAGTTTTGTAGGGTGTCCCTGGCAGCGTGAGAACTGCATCTAGAATAAAAGAAGGAGCAACGTGAAAATCACAGCCCATCTGTCACCACAGCACAGCCCCAACCATGGCTTTGGGCAGATAGTGTGCGATTCCCACTGAGCATCTCGCACCATCTCTGCCCTGCCAGAGGGACCAGACGTGCTTAAAGACGTCCAGATGAAGGAGCACTGACACACACCTCTTGGAAAACCATCCATGGACAAGACTGGAGCTTGGAACCCCTGGATGGCCTCCTTGTCCCTGGCAGTGAAGATGTGTTGGTTCTTCCTCTATTTGTACAAACTTTGGCTGGTTGGTTTCTCCTAAGTTCTCTCCAGGACAAGGGAGGAGAGAGGAGAATCTGGATCATCCCAGTAAGTTCTCAGCTCTGCCACTGCCTCCCTGCACACGCCTGGCAGATCCCCTCCATCCCTGTGTCTGCAATATCACCAACTCTTGACAACTCAAACCTGCTGTTTGCTGATGCTTAAACCGATGCTGCAGATATCAGTTCTACTTTTGCACTGATAGGATGAGCTTGAAGCTCCTTCTGTAGCGTTCAGACACAGGTTTGACTCTGATCTTGCTGTCGTGACTATGGCTCAGGCATAGGCACAAGAGGAACATAAGAACCTGCCTGCCTTCTCCTATGCCGTGGCTGCGCCACCCTTTGGCGTGGTGATGATGTTTCACTGGAAAGTGCCAGCTGTCCGCGGGGAGTGACTCTGTCTCAGATAAATGGCAAATGCTGGCAGACCCCCTTCCACACGGGCTTTTTGGGAACGGCAGTGCAAATGAGTAAGAACAAAGCAGATGCTGCCTGGAAATCTCCTCGCTGCAGAAGCGGCTAGCGGGATAATGATCGCCGGCAAGTCTGTTCTCTCCCTGCCACCCTGAGAAATGCTCGGAGCCCCCTCAAGGTGGTGTGTTCCCAGCACAGTCCCCCTCTGCCTCTGCAGCGATAAGCTCCGAGATGCTTAGCTAGCCCCAGGATCCTTCCATGCTTTGTAATTGAATTAATAACTGTCTTAAAACTGCCATGCCAACCAGCAATCTGTTTCCTTCCCTGCAGTACACAGCATGGGCACGAGTTAAATTAAGTGACTCCAGTAAGTGTGATGTTTTATGCAAGAGTAACTTCCAGCAGGGAATGGCCAGCTCAGCTCTCCTGGGCGCGGGGGAAGCAGCCCTTTACCTGTAGCTCCTGGGGTTCGTCTCATGTTCCGGCTGCTCTCGCATGCGGAGATGAGGGTGAGACGGGAGAGGGGCTCCGCTAATTGGCTCTGTGGGTTCAGAGCAGCTGTCGGCTGCTCCTGGTGTCCGAGCGTCAGCCAATTACCCGGGCCCTGGGCTCCGGCAGCGGGGCTGTGCTGCTGCACGGGAGCCGCGTGCAGGCAGGAGCCTGATGGTCCCTGGTGTCACACAGGGGAGAGGGACTGTAGCCTGTGTCTAATACTTCGGAATAAGAGAAATGCAGCGGTTTGAGGGTTGTATTCTCTTCAAATCAGTGCGGGTGCCATTTTCCTTCTAAAATAGTCGCTCAGAAAGGAGAAGCTTGTGTAAGCTGGAAATCCGCTCTCAGTTGGGTCAGCGGGGGCTGTGCTGAGCAAGTCTCAGCTGGAAATAACTCTGCTGGCCAGCAGGTAAAATAATCATGAGTTAGTGGAGAATGAATAAGAAAGTAATGTATTAATTGTGTTCTGATAGATGGTAGTGAATGGGTTAAGGTTTAACAGCTTAGCTTAATTTTGAGATTAATAGGTAGCATAGGGTAAATAATTTCTATTTATTTAACAAATAAAATATATATTATTAACACTCACATGCTTGCCTTTTCTCATGGGGTGCTCTTTCCCAATCAAGCCAAATTATGCTAATCATCCCTTCTGATTCCACCCAGAGTCTGCGCCCCGTTGCTATCCGCTGCTGTCCCTTTTTCTCTGCCAAGGTTATGGACTACAACTGTCAGGCATTGATTTTCTCAAACGTAATCAATGCCAGAAGTTCGGATGAATTTTTATCTGCAGTTCCAAGGTGTCTGGTTGGTGTCGGGGGTGAAATGCCTGGATCTCGCTCATTAAGCAAAACAACTGTGAGATTAAAGTAATAATTAAGCAGTTAGAAGTTCAGGGTATGGTTAGAACTAAGAATTGAGAGCAAAGCAGAGCGGTAAATCTCAGTGCCTCCGAGACTGATCATCTGGGCTACTTCTGTCACCCCAGGACTCTTAATTTTTAGTGTTACCAAAACAGACACCTTCTCTGGGGTCTATCATTTGGGTAGCGTGGAGAAGACAAACCCAAAAGAGAGGTCTTCAAGCCTGCAAGCCAAATTTGCAAGAAAGAGTGTGATGGGCTCAGAATTGGGTATGCCTTATGCAGCCCTACGTTCTGTGTTAAAAATCCGGCTAGGAGAGCAGAAATTACAGTAAATATGCTGCTACGCCTCTCTAGAACAACATTCATTATTAGGAAAAATAAGCGTTAACACCAAAATAAGTAGGAATAGGTGAAAATGGAACATCTGAAAATTAAGATTTGGGAAAAGAGCTGCAGAAACACTTGAACATTTCACAGAGCGCTCCAGGAGTGACTCGTGCTGTTGTTTGGGAGAGAAAAATACCGTACCATGAAATATGTCACCAAGGACACAGCAGTCTCTGTGCATATAAAAAAAATTTCAAACTTTATACCAGATATTGCTGGAATAGACAAAACTCAAACCTGATCTCCTTTGCCAGGGCGGTGGGCAGGGAGGCGGCTGCCAGTGCCTGCCTCGTGCCGTGGCGTGGGCCTATTTCTGGCAGGACAGTTCTGTGTTATTATTAGTATTTGGAATATGCTGAAAGTCAGACCTGGAAAGCCCAGGTGTCCAGGAGGCTGAACGCTTTGCCTTTGTGCTGAGCTCCGCGCTAGCTTTGGAGACCAGGAAATGCTAAATGTCTCCGTTGAACGTTTTCCAAGATGTATTCCAGTTTACGGGGACATCAGCAGCAATCCTCTTACTGAGCACAGGCATAGCCACAGCTCCGCAGCACTGACCGCAGCCTGAAGCCTTGGCACATGAGGGACCTGGGCAATTAATTGGTTTTATAGGAAATCTGAACACAGATACGCACACACACATGTGCACAAAATCAAAGTGGTTATTTTTAAAGAGCAGCTCTCTGAGGAACAGAGGGTTATTTTTAACGAGAAGCTTTCTGAGGAACAAAGGGACAGCGCTTTGGCTAGCCTTGCGTTTCAAGATTTTCTATGGCTTTTACTGAATGAGGAAAGGCCAGAGAGAGTTTTAGACTTTCCTGACAACCTTGTTCATTAGAAAGTCGTCTTTGTGCACTTCATAAGCTTTAAACCTTTACGTATCGCTGGGAAGTCCTCATTTTGGTGATACGGCCAAGGGAGGGGTGACAGTGCCAACCCAGCTTCCCAGGGCTGGAGCCGACAGCTCAGACCTGGAGGCTTTGGATCTTCACCCCCTTTGGAGTGTTTCCTCGAGCCTCATCTGTAGCTGGCATCATTTTGTCCCGGGTCCCTCACTGGTGTTCCCAGTGAGGATTTCTCAGCTGGTTCCTGAGATCCGTTGCATCATCAGCCAAAGGTCAAGAGAAAATAACCCTCACGGGCTTTACAGTGAGTCATTTTTGTGGGCTCAGCTTGGACGGGGAGCGAGTTGCAGGAACTCAGCTGGTTAATGGGAGAGCCCAACTCCATCTTGCTGCCTCTACCAGATTTGGGTCAGACCAATTTCCAAACAGGCTAATTGCCTCCCAATCTAGGGCAGCCACCCCTCCCTCTGCCTCCTTGGGGATCCAGAGAACATTAAAAGGTAATTAGATATTTATAAGGACAGGCGAGCAGTCTCTGCCTGGGATGATGAATTAGCTTGAAGACATCATCTAATTCTCAGTTGTCTGAAATGAAATGTCTCCCAGCTGAAAAGGGACCTTCAGAGTGCAGCCTGAGACTCCCTGAGATCCAAAAATGGTCCCCGATGAATGGGGGAATCTTTGCAGTCAGGGTATGGCCAAAAAGGCATCCCTAGAAAAACTGGGAGGTGAAGCAGCTTCGCCGTGAGCGAGTCGTGCTGGCCGGAGGAGATTCCTCCTTGTGCCGAGGCCAGGACAAGCCCGGGCTGCAGAGGGGCACTGCTCCTGCCAAGGCTTCTCCTGAGGATCTGCATCTCCTGCATTTCACCTAAATTTGAATTTGGGAAGGGGGAGACTTGTATGTCAACCATTCCTGCCCTCTTTTCTTGAGTGGTACAAAGAGGGGTTGGATGTAGCACAGTCGCATCCCCTGGTTGCGTAAACCACCCGGCAGAATCGGGCTTCAGCATCGCTGCAGCCGCAAAAGCCCTGTGCGGAGCAGGGAGGGATGCGTCCCGGCGTCCCGGGTGAGCATCGCAGCACGTACAGCGCGTGCCCCGGGCAATGTCCCGCTTGGCACCTCCGGACGGCCCCTCTCGGCTCTCCCACGGAAACCTCCGGCCGGAGAGGTGAGGTGCTGCTCTTACCCAGCAAGGTGACGACAGCCGTGGATGTGCGGACAAATCCAGCGGCGACTGCCATCCTGCGCCTCCGGCCGGGTCACAGCCACTGCAGCTGAGCCTCTGGGGGTGAGCGGGGACAGCGGCCCTGCGAGAGACAGAGAAAGGAGTTATCTGCAGCGTTTCTGTGGCTCTGCTCGAGGGTCCGGCGTCCAGCTGCGCGTCCCCGCTGGCCACGGGCCCGGGGTGACAGTCACTCGGGAGCAAACATGCAGCTGCCTGGTGAGGGACACACAGGGGTCTGAAGGAGCTCTTTTTCTTTCTGACGTGACGGATCTGGTTGGGAAATTGTTGTTGCTCCTCCCTTACTATCTGTTACTCTTTCTCCCTCCAAAAATAATTCTTCCTTCCTACCATTTTTTATTAAAAAACGCAAAGCCAGAGTTACACAGGGTATTGGTGGGGGGTGGGGAGAGGGAAGAAATAATTTCTTCTTGTTATTTTGTGGAAAAAGGCATCTTTAATTGAAACTCTTCAGCCAACTCTAATTGAAACTCTTTTGGGTGTCGTGGCAGCCCTGAGTCTCTTGTTCTGGAGGCGGTGGGGGGAGCGCAGCTCATCCCCCTGCACGGTGCCTCAAACGCGGAGCATCCGCGCAGCACTCGGGCTCGCAGGGCGGCGCGGGGGGGCCAGCGGCACAGAGCGGCTGCACCGCGACGTCTCCGTGGGGCTGAGCCGCAGCCCGCTGGGGCGTTTCTCGCTTTTCTTCTAAGTTTAGTGCATTTGGATAGTTAATCAAGAGATAACGGCGCACCAAGGCATCTCCTGGTGCCGTGAGACACCTTAGTAGGTGGAGCAGTGATATCCAGTCCCCTCTGCAGACTCCCATCTTCCAAGATCTCTCAAAAATAACGAAACCCGAACAAAACACGGAGGTGTTTGTGCAGACCCTGGTCCCTGCGCTCTCCTGGCCAAACCCACCGCGGGAGCAGCTTCAGCACGCGCACCTCTTTCCTCCTAACTCCGGCCGGGGTGGTTTTTTCCCCCCTCTTTGTTAACAAACGCTTTTGAAATAATACATCGAGGAGCCCCATGGCCCGGCAGAGCCTCGTGTTCCCCGGTGCCCTCCCAAACGCGCACCCCGGTGCGCTGCCGCCGAAGGCGCTGCCAAGAGCGGGGCTGCCGGTGCGCTGCGAGTGCTGCTTATCCCTCTGCTCCAGCTGGTGCCGCTTCCACTCCTCTCCCTGCCCATCTGTCTGCCCGAGCAGGCAGTGCTGCTCCTGAGCTCCTCCGAGCGGGGATTAGCCCCCTCTCCCGTGGGATGCAGCCCCCTGTGCTTCCCCGCTTTAAAAAACCCCCGCGCCCCACTCATTAATGGCAGCGCTTGAAACGCACCTGAGCAAACAGAGATAGTCCCCTGTTTGCTTCTGGTCCTGCCTCGCCGCCCCTGGCCGGGGGGAAGAGCCACCCGGTCTCTTTGTTTCCTCATCCCACCGAGATGATTTTGCTACCAACACTCGAAAGGGAGGAGACCCCATCCCAAATCCTCCTCGTTTTTTATCTTGTGTCGGAGGGCTGCATCCCAGCCTCCCGGGCACGCGGAGAGCAGAGCCCTGCCTGCCCTTACCTACCTCATGCCATGCTTAAATACTTTTTTTTTTTTTTTTTTTTTTTCTCATCCTCTCACCCTAATACAGTTAG